TACGGCTTTTCGTAGAACAGAGACAGAATAATTCCCAGATGCTGTAAAGGAAAACAGATGGAAGAAAACTTATTCATAAAAAGTGACTCAGCCCCACCATAAAATCACTGTGTCTTATTTATACCACAGGGTAGATTCTGGTTATTTTTCCTTAAACATATTTTGAGGATTTGATGAAAACACTGAATATTTCTATCCATGATACTTCATGTTTACTCTGTCAGTTTTAAAAGTGTCCCCTACAACAACCCCACCCCCTCCCATCTGTGAAAACACATCCATTGATCAGCCATTCCTGGAAGCAAAGCTAGATAAATGTTCAGGCCTGGATGGAGTAGTTACTTTCTTAAAATTTTGAAGTTACTTGTGAAGCCATGGATGTCCTATTTGTCTCCTCTCCTCCTGCACTCAGAGGAGCAGCTCAGTGGTTTGGCGTCAGCAATGACTGGGATGGAAAGCAACAGAATTGGCAGCGCAAGAGCCTTCAGCACTGCAGCCTGCGCTATGGAAAACTCAAACCTGCCTACAGGGAAATAGAAGTGAGCAGCCAGGAAGTGCCTTCTTTCCAAGGCACAGAATCTCCAAAGCCAACAAAAATGCCCAAGGTAGGTGTCATTGCACAAGAGAGTTGGTAACACAGAGATACTGTTATGCTGTGGAGAAGATTTGACTGTGGAGAAGAAATTATAATCCCTCTTGGATGTACAGCCTGAGGAAAAAGGGGTCACCAGAAAGTCAGAACTTCATCTTTTGAAGGTGTCCAAGTTCAGCTTTCACTTTGCCAAGTGAAAAAGTCTGGTGTCAGGGAATAACAAACTCCACTTCAGGGTCTGGGAAGCCACAGTCAGCCAGAGGAAATCCTACTGGATTAGCTGAGGTGAAGAACAAAATGGCACCCCTCAGCCAGCTTATGGCTGTGAAGGAAATTACCTGGCATTGTCCCATCTCATTTGCCATTGAAGTGATGGCCTCCTTCTGCTTAATGAAAGAGTTGATCTTAATTCTCCCTTCCTGTAAGGAAACTTAAAGGGGCGATGGGCGGCCACAGTCTCAGAGAGGAATATCATCTGTTTAAAAGGACTCAGTATGAAATGATGGGGAAAATCATGACTGAAAGGGATCCGGGAGATGTTGGTCAGAGGAAATCCTATGAGGGGAGGTGAATCAAGCATTTATCTAAAGCACCATCCTATGGTTGATACAATTTCAATTTAAATCAACATTCCTGTTCCATTTCAACACTGAGTATGAGACTAATTGCTTCAATTGTTTTATCCTTTCAGATTGTAGATCCTTTGGCCCGAGGCCGTCCCTTCAGGCACCCAGATGAAGTGGATCGTCCACGTACTCCACATCCTGTCCTTCCCCCGCTGACTCCTGGAGTTGTGTCCTTGGCATCATTAGGTAGTGTACGGTCAGGCTACACCCGCCTTCCCCGCAGGAAAAGGAAATCGGTGGCCCATATGAGCTTTAAGGCAGCTGCAGCAATTATCAGAGTGAGTTCTACTTTTGTGGTAAAGCTCTGAGCTTCAATTCCTTATTTCTTTATATAATGGTGTCTAGGATATTGTATATGATATGTGGTATGTGCTGCTTTCTTATCTTTCTGTTCAGCAACAGTACCACCAGAACTCCGGAGAGGAAAAAAAGTTGTGGATCTATAGGATTTCAGTTCAAATCTGAACTGTAAAATGAATTAAATCTCAGTTTGCAATTACTTCTCCAAGTAGTTTATCTATTTCTGAGACGGTCATATGTGTCGACAGTTATATTGGATGGGAGGGCATTTATGGTTTTTGCAGGATTCTCCTACTTCACAGTTCCTGGGGATGATTTTTCTTTAAATCTTTAAATCAAATCCTAATTTCAGCGAGATTGAATCCTAATTTCAGCAAGATTGGAGAATCAGTTACTTTACTTTTGAAAAAGTTATATGTTATATTTTGTTGTGCTGTTATTTCTAAGTTTGTATTTGAATTCTGGAATTCAGTGAATTCGTGAAAATATAATTGCCTTGACAGACTTTGATGATTTCATATTCCAAGCTTCCTAAAGCTGAGGGTTATGAAGTAGGTTGTCCTGAGAAAGGTCACGATCAAAAGGAAACTGTTTGATGGGAACACAAATATTACCCTTATAAGACTGGAAACCTAAATAGGTGCACAATAGAAGTAAAAGCATATTCTCAATTCAGAACATCTGAATAGAGGTATCACCAGAGGGAGCTGTTGTCTGGCACAGAAAAAGAATGGAAAAGTAGATTTAGCGACATTTGGCTGGAAGGTTGATGCTATGTAAAACCATCCACTTCATAATTGGAGCCAGTGTTAATATTTGCAGACCGTGCTGCAAAACAGATTTACTGAAATAAACCTGTAGCTATCTTGGCTTAAACTATATCTCAAACCTGGTTAGCTATAGCTTCGGAGTCTTTAATCATGTGCCAAGCCCTGTGTCTTCCTCTTAGCAGGCATCTTCCCTTTTGGAAGGCAACTTCAGGGCTGATCATATCTCTGTAACTCCAGGTGGAGTTGAAGCTGCTGATAATAGACTGAATCATTCATAGTGAGTGTTTTGAACCCGACCATTCACCATTCCAATTTGTTTCTTACAATAGGGGCGTTCCGTTCTGGATCCATCAGTGCAAAAACGCAGGGGCAACAAACGGAGCTTTATGTATCCTAGCTTCATGGACGATGATGTAGTGGATGGCATGGATACATTTGACTCTTCCTTCTTCAGTAAGGCAAGCATGGTTCCACGGCCTTCCTGTTACATTTTCCTCCTCTGCTCTGACAGCTCAGTTTTGCTTCTTCCACGCTGGCTGAGGAATTCTGGGAGTTGAAGTCCACAAGTCATAAAAGGGCCAAGTTTGAAGACCCCTGTTCTTAAGTCTTTGATGCCGCATTGTAGCCACCTAGATCTTTGCAGCCCAGATCTAGTAATTTTACTATTGCTTATAAATAAACGTTTTAAGGTGGATATGCTAGCCTGATTGTTAAACTTCACCCATTCATGAGAATACAGCCCCAAGGGCTGCTCTTCTAGAAGAGGATTGGGATCTTTTTCAGAGATTCCTTTTTTTCCCCGTGCAAGAAATAAATAGGTTGAATACCCAGCAGCCCCACATGTAAGTAAGATCATTCCTGAGGCTAGGCAAAAAGATTAATAGGATCAATTACATTTCAAAATAAAATAAAACGTAGGCTCTGTTAATTAAACCATATCAAACTTAGCTACATAAACTTTTAGGAGCTTGAATATTTTATTATTATTAAAACATTCCTTGCTGTAAGATATGGCCTTTTCACCATCAGTTTAAAGAAAGCGAAACAGTTCACCAACAGCATTCTTCTAACTAAGCTTCCAAGGTGGGCGATTTAAACTGAGCCGTGCTTGCCTTGAATTCCTGCTGTTGCCTACTATATTCTGTTTTGACTTGTACTGTACCTGTAGCATTAGGACAAGCCACAAGGAAAACAGCTGGAATATAAATATTTGGGTTGTTTTTAATCTAGGCATGCCTGGACATGTCCTTTGCCCAGAGGAATTATTAGCAAATGGGGAGGGGAGATAGATCCATCACATCCTGCCACTAGCATTGTTCCATTTTTAAAAAATGGTCACAAAGTGGTGATTCTGGTGTTTCTATCCTGCAGGGGCTCTCACTGTGTGAAGGTAAGGCTCCTTCAACACATTTTACCTGGCCTCGTTCCTATAATTGCACTCTCTCTATTTTGAAGCGTTATTTGTTTGGCAAAGGCACTGTTGATGTGTAATTTTTCTTTTTTTTTTTTGCTCAGAAAATATTACAAGGGTCCACTGTGCTACTGTCTGATTGATTTCCTTATGTTCCTTTCATATTGCACTATTCACACAGCTTGCTCAGCTTTGCTAAAGCTGACATGTGAACATGCACAATCACATCTGCTGGTTCTTCTTGTAAATGAGCATGGCTAGCAAATTATGGGCAGTGCAACAGAGAGTGAGCCAGAGATCCTGGATCAGACAAAATGCTAAATGTTGAGTTCACAGCCTGTAAGTTGTGGATTGCATGTGAATCTTGTGAACTATATATAAGTGGGGCAAAGAGGGAGACTGGGTGTGAATGAAAGAAGATGCTTACAAATCCATGGTATAAAATATATTTTGCTTAATTTCCCCCGCTCACCACCACCATCACCACCACTTTTTTCCATTAATTAATTCTTCTCACACTCCTGCCTTCCCTTCCGTTTTATTCCATTTGAAAATAATGAATTTGAATTTTAACCTACACTTTCAGAAACCAGGTGTCTAAAGATCAGTGTTTCTCAATCTTGACAACTTTAAGATGTAATCATTCCCAGACTTCCCCAACCAGCCACTGCTATAGATTGTCAATGAAGCTTACCCTGGGAATAGCTAGCGAGTGCAGTTTGCTTATTGGTAGCTGAGCTATATTATGGCTTGATCTGATTAGCAGAGCACTGTTTGTACGTTTAGATGCAAAATAAATTGTCTTCAAATGTCCTGTGTTAAACTCCTTTTTTGATGATGTGGATTTTCTGTATTTTATTTAATTATAAACTAAACCTGCCATTAAAAAAACAGTGATCACCGTTCTACTTTATTGGCATCTATGGCCAGCCTTTGGTTCTAATGATTCCTTCCTTCCTTCCTTCCTTCCTTCCTTCCTTCCTTCCTTCCTTCCTTCCTTCCTTCCTTCCTTCCTTCCTTCCTTCCTTCCTTCCTTCCTTCCTTCCTTCCTTCCTTCTCTTATCATATATGTATTTAATTCCTGATTTTTGAGCTAAATAACTCTCCTGATACAGCTGGACCAGCAGTCAAAGACTTCCTTGCATGATTCCTGGGTTGTATGATTAAAGTCCATCTGTCTGGAAATTCTGGCAGCTGCAGCCTCAACATATCTGAGGGATGCTGAGTTAGGGGCATTTATAAAGAAATGCAATATATATTCATATATAAAACAAGATATCGGGCAGATTCATAACCCCTTAGCCCAGGCATGTCCAAAGTCCGGCCCGCGGGCCATTTGCGGCCCCTCGGACCGGTTTAATCCGGCCCGCTAAGAGCCCTCCCTGCTCTATTTAAATGCGGCCCTCCCACACTTGGCCATTTTGTATTGGTTATAGTACATTCTAGCAGCTGCTTGTTCAAGGACTGGCACAAAAGGCCGTGGCTGAAAGGGTGAGTATGCTTCCAGAAAACAAGGGCTTTTGAATCAGGTTAGAGACGTAAAGGCAGGGGAATCTAAAGCAAAAGAGGGCCTTCAAAAAAAAAAACCCCTCCAAAGTTTTCAGGAGACTGGAGGGC